AGTCCATCTCAAATCCCTATATTGGGCACACAAAGTCTACCATCAAGTCTCATTAACCCATCAGGTTAGAGAATTACCTACTTAACCTGTCCCCGGTCCACTTTCTACTTGAGCTTAAGCAAATGGGGATCCTCAAACTGATGAGCTTTGATCCATTCATATCATGCACACAAGCATACCACTAGCAGTGAAGCATTAAGTTTAACCCCTTGGTTAGCCGATAGCAAAAAATCAATAGCCAAGGGTCGAATAGAAGCTGATGTGGAAGCCAAACTACTCATGGACTTCCTATTTCAGGTATCTTCCACCACGTTTGCTTTCCCCGGCTGGTACGAGATAGTCATGTCATAATCCTTAGGTAACTCAAGCCAGCTCCCCTACCTCAAGTTCTGATCTTTCTACTTGAAGATATATAGGTAGTTCTTCTCGTGATTCTTCAGGTGTCTATAGGCTGTGTAATCACCCTTCCTCCGTGCATCAAAACCCTCCGAAGCCTATACAAGAGGCATCACAATACATTGTATAACCTCCCTCCTTATTAGGCAAAGTCAACATTGGGGCTGTAGTCAAAGACGTAACTATAGCTACTGAAATGAATTTATCATGAAAAGTGTTTTTGCTGAAGTTGATTGTATATATAGCATGATATGATATGATATGAATTCAAATAAACTGTATTGTTTTGAACATGTTTTATATGTGGTTACTTTGTATCTAAAGAAAAGCAGTTAGAGATCAGAGCTTGACAAATCTTTTAGTTAATGACGAGTTCGTTTGACCTAGTGCACCTAGTTTTTATCTCTGTATTACAATTATATTCCTTGTTAGAGGAAAGTCTTAAATCAGTACGCCATTATCAATATTCCCTGAGTGGGGACTGTCATGATTAAACTCTCACAGAGGAGGGGTCCACAACTTATATTGGTTCTCTGTCGTGGTAGGGAATCAATCATTTACGTGGTTCTTTCTTGGAAATTTCCTGAACATACTTATTTGATTGTAACACCGCATCTTATAGAGTTTGTACTCATGAATTTGATGATGGGGCTGTAGTATGCTCATTTACATTTACGTGGTTTGTTCTTGTAAATATCCTGAATATACTTATTTGATTGTAACACCGCATCTTATAGAGTTTGTACTCATGAATTTGATGATGGGGCTGTAGTATGCTCATTTACATTTACGTGGTTTGTTCTTGTAAATATCCTGAATATACTTATTTGATTGTAACACCGCATCTTATAGAGTTTGTACTCATGAATTTGATGATGGGGCTGTAGTATGCTCATTTACATTTACGTGGTTTGTTCTTGTAAATATCCTGAATATACTTATTTGATTGTAACACCGCATCTTATAGAGTTTGTACTCATGAATTTGATCTGCCCATTTATTTGTTGCAGTGTTTTTCATATACATGATGTATTCATTATATGATGGTTTATATCACTATAGCAAAAAAGCATTACTACTATGTTTTATGAATACTGTATACTAGCATGTTTCCCAATTCACTAAGCTAGCTAACTCACCTTTACGTTATTATTGTTTTATAGAAACAACTATTGATATAGACAAGAACCCCCAGCAAGGGCTCGCGAAGTTGATAGTATTGGTGAATCTCACATTGGTTCAAAGGGGGCTTTATCATTTACTGTTGTCCTTCATTTTAAACTCGTGATATTGCTCCATTCGTTCGTTTCATGTGTACTTTGTTCATCATATGACTTAAAAGTATGCGTTAAAATTTCTTATTGGTAATGACCTTGAACTATTGTTTGACAAGTACAGATAGTGTTGTGTTGTATGATTCTAGCTGAGACAGGTAAATTTGGATAGCCCTAGAAATAGGGGAAACTCTGTCCAGTTTTATTTTTTTAAATTTGGGTTGCGATATTTTCCCCGTTAGCAAGCTTTTGTGATAGGACAACATGATGATGTTGTGGAGGCAGGGTGTTAGTAGTATACTACTCCTCCATCATCAGCTATATATACAAGGGCTACCTTATCTGATACAAATTCCATAATGCTTTATTTATCCAACTAATTTTGGTTGTTCCAAGTAAAAAGGATATTACTTGTGGTGTGACACCATGCAACATGATTTCTGATATAAGTTGTAATAGAGTCTTGCCTGCATTTTGTAAATGAAGCAGCCCAAAACCATTGGATATTGAAAAAAAATGAGAATATTTATGTCATTTTTTCAAGAAAAATTGTGAGGCAATATGTGATGAAAGAGGCATTTTTAGAAATGATTTACCTGAATGCTTTTGCTTGCCCTTTTCTCCCCTCAATGAAACAGCTCCTCTGTTTTCTTTGAAAAGTGGTGAGAATGGCTTAATCACTCTTCTAGTCTTTGGTCATTATTAGTACCAAAAATGGTGGAATGGGTTAATCACTGTACAACTCTACATCACTTTTATAATCTTGTTTAATTAATTAGACTTCATTAATCAAATGGCTACTTAACTATCTAAATCTATCTACTAAAATTATGTGTTCTTTTTTTGAAATAGAAAAACTTTATTAATTAGTTTTGAATAGTTGAGTGATCATTTAAGTATTGAACTCTAGCCTAATTAATTATATTATTATTTTAGATGTACATGCAGTGACTTTTTGCCATTTTGTACCATTCAACTTTTTCATTGGTTTAACTCAACATCACTTTTGCAATCTTGTACTTTGTATTTAGATTATTTTTCCCCATCGATCCCAAAATCTGTCCTTACCATTTGAAATTTCAACTTTAGATTGCAAGTACACAAGTAAGAAAACAATCATTCAATCACTCAAATTCTAAGTTTTCCTACACGCGGATCTAAGGAGGTTTGGGTGTTCACCTGAATTCCTTCGATAAAAAGTTAAATTTTATATAGGCAGAATGGTCTGGGAGACCCTCGTACTTGTCTCATTTTGTCACCTGAGCCCTTCTAATCTAGACTTTGCCAACTAAACCCTCGAACCCACTGAAATCCAACATTTTAAACCCTTTTTTTGACCACTCAGTGGTGCGTGAACTACAAACGCCACATGTAGCTTTCCACGTCATGTAAAAATGCCACATAGGATATGACATGTTAAAAATAGGCTAATCCTTTTCTTTCAAACATTTCTTTCCTTTCTCCTTTTCAACTAGACCCTTCTACTCCCTTAATCCCGATTTACATTGTTGCTCACTGCGATTTTTTTCGATTTTGTTAAGTGTTTGAGTTCGCGTTTCACTCCATAGTTGTAAGTTTCTTGACTAATTTTCATTCTCTTTGTTTTGCAGTTGTGTTTTTGGTTTTTCATTTTGAATTTTGTTGTTTTGAGTTCTTGTTAGGGCTTAGTTGTTGCAGAGGTCGTGGTGTGATTTTAGGGAGGATTTTGATTTTTTACATGCCTAATAACAATTTGTAGAAGTATTATGCATTCAATGGCATTTGTCGTGAATATCTGTTGAATTTA